TACTCTCTTGATTACTGCACTTTATAGTAAGTCTTGAAGTTAGCTAATTTTAAGTCTTCCAAATTTTTTTCTTTCCAAAATTGTTTCGGTCTTTTTAGTTCTGTACAAGTTTTAGAACTAGCATATCAATTTCTACAAAAGAAAGCTTGCTAGAATTTTGTTGGGATTGCATTGAATCCATAGATCAATTTGGAGAAGAATCGACATCCTAACAGTATTGAGTCTTCCAATCCATGAACATGGTATAGCTCTTCAATTATTTAGGGCTTCTTTAATTTTTAATTCAGTAATGCTTTATAGTTTTCAGTGTACAGGTCTGGAACATATTTTGTTTAATCCATCCCTAAATATTTCAGATCTCTTGATGCCATTAAAAATGGTGTTTAAAAAAATCAGACTCCAGATATTCATAGAAATACACCCAGTTTTTGTATATTGACCTTGCATTTTACAACCTTGCTAAAAACTCTCCAGTTCTAGTACATTTTTGGTGGATTCCTTGGGGTTTTCATGTTGTGTGCAATATGTCCTAATAAGAAACAAAGGCACATTCACCTTCCTTAAGAATAGCTAGTGTTTCCCTAGTGCTGTGGCTAATTCAAAGGGGCCAGCATTTATGTGACTGTAAAATGTTGTTTTTGGTTCCACCTAAATTGTATTTAATTAGCCTGAAACCTTAGAGAAAGGTAAATACTAAATTCTTGAAGTTCAAATGTTAAAAAAATAACATTAATTAGAAGGTTTTTATGAATTTCATTGGGGTGGAATTTGATAGGAGCTATTTTGTCTTCAACAGGACTAATTCAGCTTTAAAGATTTCAAATTTCTTTTTGATGCTTGTGTATCCATATTAAGGCCATCTCTTAATGCCTTTTGGGGGGTTTTATCTCTTGATATACCTTTAATATCTGTTACTTGTGGAATTTTTTGGTAAGGAATTTAATATGCATTTATATAGTGAATGCTTACTAAGCACACACTGTTTGCCACACTTGGTACCAGGTGCCATGAATACAGTTAGGAGCAAGCCAGAAACATGCATTTGCTGTCTTTATGGAGCTTCCATTCTAGCAAGACAATGGGACATTGAATAAATGTTTATACAAATTATAGAACTACAATTTGAAATGTGCTATTAAGTCACTAACCTAGACTGGGACAGGCTGTGGGTCAGAGAAGTCTTCCCTAAAGAAGTGGAATTTTTGCACGCTCTGGTGGTTGTTTAAAGAGTTAGGTAGTTTTGGGGACACAAGGTTGGTAATATTACTTATGTCAGCCCATTTGTCTTGATAATATGATCCAAACTTTTTTCTTCAATAGCATTTCTATAATGTCTTAGTGGTCATTAGTAGAGTTAAGCTAAGAATCATGGATTAATTCCTTTCTCTTATGTATGTTAGCAGCTACTTCTGCAGCTCTTAAGTCATTGCTGTAACTTGAGTACATCTGAGAGGACATACCAGGCAGATATGCATCAAACATGTAGTTATTTTGACATTTCTTGTGACCAGAATTTTATTCTCCTGTCCAGGAATAATGGGGTTGGAGGACTCCCCCCCCCCACCATGTGCGTTCAGTTTTACTTGATGGCTTAAAGTTGCATTTGGTTATAGTGAATATAAATATTTAGGAGAATTAGAGATGATATATGGTTATATTTCTTAACAGGTTCCAGGTCTCATTTTATATCTTTTCAGAGTCTCTTTTCTGAGTAACTTTCTTGGTTCTGATTAAGTCCCAGAAGATTATATGAAAGAGATATAAGGGGAAAAAAAAAAAAACTTGTGTAACCTTGCTTAGATCAGTTTTAATTTATTTTGCATATTTATACATCTCTATGTATTGCTTTCAAAAGCAAAGTTTAGTAGATGAATGATGTGTAGATGGCTAGTTGGATAATTCACCCCAGAGGAGACTCCCTGCTTTATTCCCTTTGTGAAAGTTCCACTTGGTGCTAGCTGCTCCTTTATTGTTTCATCTTGATTTTCATTGACTTTGAATGGGGGGTTCATGTTGCCTACAGCCACTGAATAACTGTTCCACTCTCTGCTTGAGTTGATGAGAACTGAAGTTAGTTAAAAAATGTTTGTTATCCGGATTGTTTTACTGCTCTATTTTTGTGATTTAACCTATTCACTGATGTATCTTTAGCCTGTGTGTGGCCCTTGTGACATCCAACTGTTCTGGGGAATGTGATGAAGGAAAGTCAGATCTGTTCACTTTATGCTTTAAGGGCACTGACTGAAGTTTAAAGAGCAGAGCTGGTTCTAACTAATGGCCAGATTTGAGGTTTGGGGGTATCTTAGTCAATACAGGCTACTAAAACAATAGCATAGACTGGGTAGTTATATTATAAACAACGAACATTTATTTCTCACACTTGTGGAGGCTGGAAGTCTGAGATCAGAGTGCCAGCAAGGTTGTTCTGGTGAGGGTCCTCTCCTGGGTTGCAGACACACATCTCTGGGCTGTGTCCTCACTTGGCGGAGAGGGTGAGGGAGCTCTCTGGGGTTGCTTTTATAAAGGTACTAATCCCATTCATGAGGGCTCCACCCTCATGATCTACCTAATCACCCCCAAGGGCCCCATCTCCAGATATCACCTTGGGCTTCAGGATTTCAACATATGAATCTGGGGTGGGGGGACAAATATTCCACCTGTAATAGGGAGCTACCTTTGTAATTTATTCATTTTGTCTTCTTCCTTCAGTAGAGTGTATATTAAAGGATTAACAATGAACAGGGAATATCCCACTTAAATTTTATCTTGGTTCTTTGTGCAAAGATGGGACGTTATTGCTGTTTCTCCTGGTGGCTCACTTCAGCTTGACCTCCAATGACTTTTCTGGTGCTTTTTCAAGCAGGATCACCCTCTATTTTGCACCCCTCCTGTGGCACTGTGTCCCACTCCCTGCACTGGCCTGTCCTATTTTGTCCTGGGGCATTCCTCGCTGTCCTCGCCAGTGGGTCATAAGCTTCTAGGCTAGGATCCTGTGTTATTTCTCTTTATGTTTCCATTGGTGCATCATCTGTAGTCAGTCATGTTGCTGCTTCATACACACCCTCAGCTTCCTCTGTGCCTGTCCCACATAGTGTATAGCTGAGTGTAACTGCATAAAAACATGAAGTCGTACCTTTGAATTCAGAATCACTAACCCTAGGTGAACCCTGAATGCTTCCTGTTGCTCATATGATTTATCCTGCTTCCTTCATTTTCTCACCCTCCCTTCTCAAACTTCCAACACCTCCTTCCTCTTTTTCACTCTTAGCTTATGCTTTTTATTTACCGAGAAAATAGAGGGAATCAGAAGATGATGTTGCCAGCACTGGGACTCCCACCTCCGGGTGGTCTTGGAAAGGGCGGCAGTGGTGTAGTTCAGTTCCCAGGGCTGTCCTGCATATCTGTGTGGCCAGCAAGGAGTGAGGGAGGGCCACGATCCAGTGGGCAAGCAGGGCTGGTGTTACCAGGGTGGGTGTGAGTCCTACCCATCCTACGGGGTGAGCAGCTCTGCTTTTAAGGCTGACCTCTCTGCCTGAGCTAGTATTAGCATCTACCCCTTGTTTGCGTGTTTCCTTTTCTCCATAGGGACGTTCACATCATCACAAAAAAATCATGCTGTTACTTCTCTCGTTTAACAACCAAACAGAACCTGTGTTGACCTTGTTCCTCCCTGTAGCCACTGCCCTATTCTTTGTTTTCCCATTAGAGGAAACTCCTGGCCAGAGTTTTGTCCTCAGGTCCTGTGGTTAGTCTCCCTCCACCTTTCCATTAGGCTTTGCCTCCACCAGACGGGCTCTGCTGCACTGAGTCCAGCGGCTACTTCTCAGTCCTCTTCTTACTGCCGTGTTGTCCTCTTCCTGCTTTCTTGCTGCCTGCAGAGTATCCGAGGATACTCCCCCACCTTACACACACACACACACACACGAAGATTGTTGTGCTGTAGACTGTCTCACCCTCTGGATTTCTTCTGATCACTTCCTTCTGAAGCCATTTAACTTGTTCTTCTATCCTCTGTATTTTCTGCAAGGTGGAAGTGAGTTTTAAAAGTTCATTAATTGAATTTAAATGAAATTTCATCTTTGAAGCTGCTTCTCATAAGCGCATAGAGCTTTGGGACAGACCCCTGATGTTAACAGAAGGACTCATCTCTTTGGAAGTGCCTGGCATTTGCATGAAGATGGCCCAGGAGCCCAAATATTAAAATCTGAAACTGACAGATTTTAATATGTTTTGCATTGGTCTCTCGGGATGATGCGCACCCCCCCCCCGGCCCCTGATGCCCCACCTGTGGGGGATGCTCCGGTGCTCCAGGGTCCAAGAGGAAGTTGCAGCCTCTTGGGAGGCTATACTGGGTTAGGCCTGTACCGGGTGAGGTAATATCTCCCGTAGTTCTGCTTCGCCTCCCTGAGCCTCCATTTGGGGCAAAGAGAAAGCATCTTTGGGTACCCCATTGCTTTCCCTTTGTGAAAGTTCATTTCTCACCTGCTGGTGACCCATCAGTCGCTGGTGGTGGTCAACTTGTCTTCCAGGGGAGGTGGATGTTGTACAGAGGCTGAGAGCAGATGCTCTAATATCTTGGTGCTTTGTCTTCTGTGACTTTTCACCTAGCTTTTCATTTCCCCAGGTGAGATAGTGAATTTCCTGGAGGGGTGGAAGTATAAATGTATGTGTTTTCTGTAAAATGCATAGAAGGCTAGAGAGTCACTAGTGGGCTGTAGGTGTGGAGAGGACTTTTAAGAATTTGGGATATAGTATAGAATAGAAATGTACTTCTTTCCTTGGATCTTGTTTCTGAAGTTTGTTTTTGTAATATAAGTGTACTTAGTGTACTTATTGTCTGTTGCATAATAGCTTGAGTGTTCAGAATATGTTAACCTGGCTTTTATTGGGCATGAATTAGGAAGTACTTATATTACCAAAATTGCATGTTTAAGGAGAAGCTACCATCATCTAACGTAATGCCAAATTACGACCTTTCCACTTCTTTCTTTATGACACAGGAAATCCGGGCTCCTCTTATGCAGTGGCTGGGGAAACATGTGGATCCTGATGGAGTAATAAAATCTAGCAAGCTCTCCCTTAAGTTTGTTTCATCCTATACATCTGAAATAGAAGTCACCCCATCTGCCATACCTGTGGTGACGGACATGGAGGCCTTCTCATCAGAAAACTTTGACTTCGAGATCTACCGACAAAATTTGCAGACAAAGAAACTTGGGAAAACAGTTCTGTTTGCCGAAGTGACACCTACCACGATGAGTCTTCTGGATGGGTGAGTTCTGGCCAGACTGGCTTCCGTACCTGCTTGGAGGAGTCTGCTTATGTTGATCGTTCTCTAACCAGTGCTGGGTGAGAGGGACAGAGATGCAGATCAGTAACTCTTAAAAAGCCCGCTAGCAAGGTGGGACTAGCCCTGTCCTAGAAGAGTTAAAATGTAGGAAGAGAGGTTAAGTAAAGTTCTTCCACCAAAGATTTGTGTTTTAAAGAACGGAGTATTTTTGTGCCTTGTGACTCTCTTGCTTTAGTTGGACCTTTCAGAATGTCCTTGGGAAAAAGAACATTATGAAAAAACATGTTTAACAGGTGGCACTGTTGTTTCTGTTACTGTTTTACTTTTGTGTTTGTGTTGGTATAACCAGTGTTAAGATGTTATAACCAGTTTAAGATGTTTCGCAGGAGTATCAGGATAGTAAATTTGAACGACATGTGAGCTGTGTTAAATTGACATAAATTGGAGCTTTGTACTCTGAAAACCTGTTTTGGTATGTTCCTATCCAATGCATTTTTAAAGCACTCTGTAATCGCATTTGGATGTTTGAAATTTACTCTTATTGCAAGTTTTCCCTTTTATTCCTTCTGTTTCATGGACTTTGAGTAAAGGTTAAAAAATGGAAAACAGATGAATGGAATTTTTAAACTCCAAATTAGTCAGTATTCGTTAATACTCATATTGAGATAGTTTAAAAAGTAGGATTATGGAGGGAGTGAATAAGAAAAGCATCTTCACTCAACATGGGACTAAAATGTAAGGAATGTAAGCCTCCAGAAACCCCCCTGGATTCACAGTTTCTGGGCACTTTCGCCCATGGGACTGCATAATTAGCCAGATATACAATGCAGCATATGGAACGTATAGAAATATTTTGGCCTTTCTTCTTAATAATTTCTGGAATTTGCTAGTGTGTTGATATAAAATGTTGAGATAATTTTAGGACTTCATTACTCTCATACTCAAAATTATGGAAACGGCAGTTTTTGTGTATGAATAGGATGCAGAAAAAGCATTAGTATACGGGGACTTGCAAGGGTGGGGCATGGAGTATGAAGGGGAGTATGAGCTGTGGTGATGGACGGTTCCTCTTTACTGAGTTGTTTCGTGTTGTCATTGGTACTTTTTTTCCCCCAGTGTTCCCACCCTCTCCTGCCAATCCCTTACTCCCCTGTAGGTAAGAAAAAGCCTGTGTTTGTAGATGGAACAGTTACTACTTGCTTGTATAAACTCTGTGATAATCTTTTGTTACTCCAGTGACCACTGTATTATACTGAAAGGATGAGCCATTATAATCATATTTTCCAAATAAAAAAATCAGACACAATATTTAACAGAAGATTTTGGGAGGTTAAATTCCAGTAGAGAACCACTGGCATTTCCAGACCGTTTTTGTAGACAACAGTGAAGAATATTTTGTGTCGGGGCAATCTTGAAACACTGAAAAATTGCTGAGTCTGGGCAGTGGGCAGTGTGTTACCAAAAGGGCCTGCTAGGGTGGTGGACCGAGGCTCCTGTGCAATCTAATGGTTGAGTTTCCTTCTACTCTGGTGAGCCTGTGCTTTAGGATGGAAAAAAATGCTGTGTAAAGTCACTGCTTTATTACCCTTGAATATTGGTAAGTTCGTTAGTGATACTGATCTTTTTTTTGAAAAATAAAAATTCTGTCTTAAGTATCTTGTAGCTGAGCTTGACAGGAGTGACGTCGGAACCTTCTGTACGTGAAAAGGTTTTATTTTTACAAAAGAGCATTTATGAACCTTCTTTTCTTGTCTGGTCTCTGCAGAGCACAGAGGGTGAAATGGCTTTGATGATTAACGATTAATCTCTCTGCTTGGCACAGAGCAGATACTGAATAAGCAGTCACTGCTCACCATGACTTACCGTAGGTGTGTGTCCTCTTCCGCTGCACATGTGGGTTCCTTCCTCACACTGAGAGGGAGCGTTACTGCAGCCTACTGAGTCAGTGAGCCCGGTGCGAAGTTCCTCGGGGGGGCTGTAGCCTTTTTTAAGAGAAGTAGCTTGAAGAGGTCACCTTGGTATCAAAAGCACCCAAGATTGTCCACAAAGGGATCATGAGATAGATAAATGAAACATACAGATGATTACTTTCTAGGAAGAAGACCAAACACATTTCTCCAGCTAACATTATATTTGATCAGACAAGAACTATTCTTATGGACACTCAGTCTGTTGTTGTAATAACAATAATAATAGCTAATGTGGATTGAAAGCTTTTGTCTTCCAGACACTGCTTTTATGTACTTTTATATGTATCGACTAGCATCATACAGCACACCAGTGTGTAGAATGCTAGGTAACAGAATTTACTGTAAGTGGAGTTGTTCCTATTTCTGACAAACACTGGCATTTTGAGTTTTCAGAGCTTTTCCTGTAATAATACAGCTTCTGACAGACAGACACATGGTCTACCTTCCAAGCTACCAAAGGCCAGCCTTGACTGAATGCTTTGCGGCTGCATGACTGTACATTAGAGGTGAACCTGTGGGACCTGTGTCCTTGCCAACTGCCCCCGCCAGATCCTCCTGCATTTTTAGGCCCGTTTCTTGTGGTGTGCACAAGGTCTTAGCCCTACACCCTGCTCCATTCAGGTACCAGTTTCTAGGTCAGTCGGGATTAGGTTCAGCTGTGTGAGACAAGGATTCCCAAATTAAAGTGGCTTAAACAGGCTTGAAGTTTATTTCCTGTAAATAAGATGGACAGCCTAGGGCCAGTGTGTGGCTCACAGTGTTAAGGACTCAGTTGAGTTGTTCTGTCACCCTTAGCAGGTGGTCCAAAAGATGACTCAAGCATTTATATTCTCTCTCATTTTATCCAGTAAGCAGGAAGGAGGGATAAAGAGGGCTGTGCCCCCATTCTTCATGGACTTTTTCAGAGGTTGCTCATGACATTTTTGTTTTTATCCTAGGGCTAGAACCTAGTCACATGACCGTATCTACCTGCAAAGAAGGCTAGAAAATGAATGTGGTCTTTTTACTTGGCACCCATGAATCTAGCTGAAAATCAGGGCTCTGTTAGTAAGGAGGACAGGAGGCTAGGTGTTAGAGGACAGATGGAAGTCTTTGTCACAGGCATGTACTTTCTGTTTGTCAGACTACTAAACAAAATAGCTGGAGGCCATTGAGTAGAATATACAATATGATAGCTTCAGTGCTTATAAGATTTAAAATCGTAGGTGGAAATAATTATTTGACAGGTAACACTGGTTTTATTTCACTGCTTACTCAAAGTCATTAGAGGTCTTTTTCTATGTTATTATAAATCTAGGAGGATTTGGAAAGTTCTCTTTCTACAGATTATTGGAGGACATCATTTTTTTCTTTAACCACAAACCCAGCTTAAACTACTGTGGCATGAGGTGGATATTGAAAGCTTTCATTTGATCTCTGGGTAGGAGAGCCGGCTGGTCTTGAAGCCATGAACCACCACTGCCTTCACCTCCTGCCCCACCCTGTGGATTTTAAAGCTGTGTCAGTGGTTCAGGAGAGGAGAGAGAAAGAGCTCTGGGGGGAGGAGTAGCAGAGGGAAATAAGGTAGTTGCTTGCTGGTAACTCCAGGGTATTTGAGGGGCCTGTGGACCCCCCTCCAAAAATAAAAAAGCAAAGACCATGCGAGTGAGTGACATTTCCACGAAAGTCTGACTTGGCTGTGCCACCCAACCAAGTTTGGTCAGAAGAGGTAATTTCACCCTGGATCCCCCACTCCAGTCATTTTCTCTGACAGATATTTCTAACCATGAAATGCGTTTTCTACTCTGTTGTCAGGGTAACACCTTTTGGATGAAATGCTGATTTTGGTTGACTTAGTCTTTCTTTTTTTCCCCTCCATGCTATTTCCTGGTAGGTTTTCCTGTGACCAGCTAGCTCAGCTGGTTGGATAGAGTCCTAGGGTTTAGTACTGGATCTGGACCAGTGACCTTTACTGTGTGCCATGGTCCTGTCCTACAGCTACAGACCTAGGGAGCCATTTGCAAATGTGAGCTGGTGGTGGTGGTGGGGTCTAGACAAGGGGGTGTGGATGGGCCACTGCTCATCTCTCGTCCCTGCTGGACAAGCACTTCTAGGTGCTTACTCTGCCCTGGCTTGGTCAGGAGCACTAAACATTTTGTTGAATCTCCCAGTAAGTGATGATTGACCCTCAGCTGTGGGGAAAGCATGATGCGGAAAGCTAGACTTTGGAGCACAGAGTCTGGCTAACTGAGTCATTGTGATAGTTTTGGAATCATCTTTTATTTAACTGATGGTATCTTTTTTGATGACTTGTACCAAGCTGCTGTCAGATACTGACTTATGTGTGAAGCCACAGTGTGTGGTAAGCCAGATGAACACAAATTTTGTTTACATTGATTTCTTTACATACTTGAATAAACAAGCCATGGATGGGCTGGTTGTCATTTGTAAAGAATAATTTAGATTTCTTTATTAAATAATTTTTTTTCACCATTTCAGACTTACCATTTAAGCTTATTTACTATATAAGTCCCTTGATTTTTCAGGCTTCAGTTTCCTTTCATCATACATGGAATGTGCATTTATGGAGTGCCTGCTGTATGCCAGGCACTGTATCAGGCACTGGAGGGAGAATGAAATGAAGGGGAGGGCACCCATGTTGCCTCACAGCGCATCAGAAGAAGCAGATCTCAGTGCACATTCAGTCCGTGCAGTTCTGCGTACCCTTCTTGGTCTGAGCCCGGGAGTTTGGGCAGAAAGAGAGAAGTGGGCGCAGCAGGGAGAGCAGTAGACTAGTCAGTGAAGTTTTTGGAGCAGTTACTGTGTCAGGCGTTGTTCCTGATGCCATGAAGCTTACCGTCTGGTAGGGAAGTGCTAGAACTGAAGACTTATCACCAACTCGCTCTGTAACCTTGGCAGTGATACCCTCCCGGGCCTTGCTCTCCTCAGCTGTGAGATTTGGGCAGAAGACACTCCCCAGTCACCTTCAACTCAGCTCCTTTGAGTGATCCGGGGGTCAGAATCCTACACGGA